ATAACAATCTCACCTGCTGCCCCTGGGGAGGTCAGTGGAACCCACACTCGCCTGCGTCCTGAACAACAGAAGACTGGAATGCGCAGTGGGCGCTGGGCCTTAGACGCTTTTGCCGCGACAAAAGGATCGCTGGTGATAGTTGAAGAAAGTTTTCTTTGGAAACACAGAGAATCCCGCGATTTCGAGTTGCTTACACCCAAACCAAGCAGCAGCAGCCGAATGTGCCAGAATTCACTTTGAAAAGGGAGCAGCAGGCACGTAGAGCCAAAAAAGCCCATACAAAAATATCACTTTGCAGCCCTGCAGCTATTCACCCTAGCCAACAACGGGGCTCTCAAAACACAACTGGAGAGAAACGCAGATGAATCGACTGGCAGTTCGGTTAAACCAACATTCGGAACACCTTCATTTATCTCATCTTAGCCCTGATCAACATTAAAGTATCCTAGGTAAGCTTCACAACTAAAACTGAGCAGAGGCTGCATGTCCGCAGAGTCGAAGGTAAGTCGTGGAGGACTTGGGTTGCAGTGAACGGACTTTCTGGGGCGTGAAGAGCCCATAATTGCAAAAGCAGAGATATGTTATCTTAGGTGTTTCAAGTAAGGAATTCCCCGTAAATTGTTCAAGTAAGGAATTCCTCAAAGAAAAGAAAGCTCTCAACAAGCCCGTGCTACAGTCAGTGAAGGTCCTGCACAACTAGCATTTTTCGTAGTTGATGAGATCTAGCACCAAAGCTGTAGCGAATGCAGAATTGGGAGTAAGTAGTTGAGGACTTTGTATAAAGAAAACGGACTTTCTAAGGCGCAATGATCTCGCAGCTGCAAGACAATGGCGTTTACATAATTCAAATTCTTCCCCAAGCAGCAAAGTGCTCCGCAAAGACAAGTGCCTCGAGGAAAATATGGAGATAAAACTCGACAAAATTACTCAGCTCCAACAGCCAAAAACGCAGTCGCATCACAGAAACAGCATATTTGTCAGACTAGAACTCACGACCTGCTCCCGCAGCCTTCACTTCTGTCTTCATTTGCTGCAGCTCAAGAGCCCAGTGCATTTCCGGCAGCTTTCCGCAACTTTATGGAAAGTAGTGAAACCCCATCTTTATGGGAAGTAGTGAAAGTAAACCTCTTCAGCTATGCAAGACTATCGGGAAGTCCCACGCACCGGAGGCGAAACTTTGCTTATGCCGCACAGGCCTAGTGGGTTGATATCAAGTCGTGTGGAAAGAACGAAAATCTGCAAAGTTGTAATGCTTCTCTGCTACAAAATCCACTTGAAACATGCATACGCACTCGCTGTAACCACAGAAAGCCAGCAGCAGCTTGTTGCTAACAAGCCTCTTTGTTCGTAAGCTTCAAGAAGAGATCTTCCCTCACCTGTGATGCTCTTCAACCCAGGAAGCAAAAGGGTGTGGCGCCGACAGTTCAGCAAAGGCTGCTCACGCCTGATTGCATAATTCATTTGACATTAAAGTATATATCACAATTCGAACATGTTTAGGTTTCTGAGGCAGTGTTCCTATGGTAGTTCTTATAACACTCACCAGCTTGTCCTATCTCGGCGAGTAGTGCATCATCACAGACCTTTGTAGGCTAGAAACCGGAAAAATAGCACAAGTCAAACTTTGCAAAGGCCAAAAATGTTGCATTTTCAGATTATATGTGAGATCACTTCGCCGCTGCCGTCGGAAACAATGGATGCATTGTTTCCGAATTCGTTGGGCTACTTCCTGACAGCCACGCCCCATGCCAGCATAAACCTTGGAGCAAATTAGAAGTAGATTAGTTTCAAGAGGTCAGATTTCACGCATTCCAGAAGCCAAACGTAGACAGTGAGGAAATCTCGCCGAAGACCCGCTCAGTGTGCATTCGGGACTCCTGCAATAATCTGTTGCAAACATTCCATTGCTGTAGCCCCGAAAGCACACTTGCAACAGAGTCCCCCGATCTGTGCTTACAGGCGAAAGCACAAGGTCCATTCCCCATCAGCAAGGAATTCCTTCTGAGCTAAAAAGACAGCCACCACCTTTTGCAGTACAGATGCCTCTTTGAGAGTGTTCGATAGCTAACGCAGCAAAAGCCGCATTAGTCTTGCTTTTTGATGAAAACTGGAAAATTACTCTCTGCTCCTCAACAAAATCTAATGGCTCCGGAGCCACTAGACCCTCTAAATACCCAAAGTTGCGCCAAATAACGTCCGCCAAAGGTTAAAGAAGAGGCTGATGACCGCCATATCCTGGAAGAGGTGCTTTGCCTGTACAGTTGATTCACCAGACTGTTTCCCTGCATGCATGCGCTATACAGAAAACTCCCAAATGGCAATAAACTCAATTGCAAATTGAGCCATCTCCGTCCTTAACTGCAGGCAGCTGCTGCAGCAGCAGCTGCCTGCGGATCTACACTTTTAGCAATGAGCCGCTAACTTTCTGTAGCAGCCAATTTGTGTCAAGTTCAGACTTAACGACCCACGGCCGAAGCTGTGGCCCCATGACTTTCTTTCTTTTTCAGTATATGGAGTCCAACGAAGTATACAAAGAGCTCTAGATTTTGCAGCAGCAGATTAAACAGAAGAGCAATGGAAGCAGACGGAGATGGTGGGATTTCCCCATCAAGACAGCCCGCGCCAAGCTCTGCACCAATTACCTGTAGCAAGTTGCAGCTAATTTGTTCCAATTAAAGCTAGTAGTTGGGGTAATTTGGACTAGATGGCTTCCTTTTAAGAACAATTTGAACTAAAATGCATTATCTCAAGGACTGACAAGCCCGATGCAGCGCGGAAGCGCGTACTCTCATGGAAAAGTGAATTTGCATACAGCGAATGTGGAAAGATGCATTTGAAAGCCGGGAATTTGGCGCGTAAGCCCTCACCTGTTTATGAACAAACTTGAAGGTTTTATTACTTTATAAAATTGCAACTACTGGCGCTTTGCCGATTCTGCAGTTGTTTCAATCCGATGCCGCAGCTGCTTCCAGTTCAAAACCCACCTTCTGCTCAGCTAACTGTAGAATTAATGATGCTGCGACCCTTTTCAGATTCTTTGAAAAGCCCTTTCGGTCACTCCTCTCTAAGCTTCTTTTCGAGAGTCAAAGGGGGTACAACTAATGCTAAATCCCATCGTAAATGCAAAAACACCAAGCAACCTTTTGAGTACCTTTTCAACACTTGCATTCACACCAGCCCGGCTGCCATTCGCCGCATCAGTGGAAAGAACTAGAAGATGCGGGACTTAAATATGTTCACCAAGTGCCGCCCTACATTTTAAAGTGCTTTTGTAGCATTTTTTCTGGCTGGGAAGCCCTTTATAAGGTGTTTCCAACGCAGCAGCAGCAGCAGCAGCAGCAGCACAAGCGGCGAAATGTGTTGCCTACGGAGAACAGAGCTGCCAGTTGTGACCACTTTGAGACCAGCAGTTTGCCTCCTATTTCTGGCAAAGGGGCAGGAACGTTAGTTGCTGCTGCCTCTGCTGCTGCTCGTGTTCCGTCTGCTGCTGCTGCTGCTACTCAGCCTGCGGGCGCTGCTGCTGCGTGTGTTGCGCTCTCACCTCCTTTCTGGTGCTGGTCCTTAGGAGGAGACTGGCGAGGATGGCGCCAAGGACAAATGCCCCGAGTGCGGGAAAATATGATCTTGGTTTTCTCTTGATCCGGAAGCCAAATCCATCTGCGGTTGCTGGGCGTGCCTCGGCTGCTGCTGCTGCTGCTGCTGCACCTGAGCTTGCTGCCGCGGCAATCGAAGCGCTGCTGAGCGGCAGATCTATCCCTACAGGGGACTCCGGAGGCGAAAAAGAATACCTCTGTGCCAATTTCAATTGCGGAGGATCTAAAGCGGCAGCACTTGAGACGAAAAGACCCCAAAGAAGGGGAAGTACCAATGCCAAAACCACTGGTGCCGACGGCCGCAGGGGGCGAGATCTTGCGCGCCTGTCTCGGAAAGCCGCCTCCAGAGTCATTTTTGCCTATTAGGAGGATTAATCATAAATACCAACAATTTGCTTAATTGAAATTCAATGACTTTGGCACTATTCATTTGCGTTCCAGAGCTGCTCACCGGGGCTCTGCAGGTGCTCCCAAGCCCCAGCCCGGTTCCCGGGCGACCGCCACCGCCTCTTCCTTCTCTGCAGAACACTTTAAAATAACCTTTTTATTCCTCGATTTTGATTTTAGTTTTTTGTATTCAGAATAAACAAACTTACCCGAAAAAAGAGCTCCTGCCGGCTGTTCGCGCAGCGTCGATGCGTCGGCGGCAGCAGAACCTCTAGGGAATCCCGTTGATACGGGCATGAAGACAAAATTCTTCGATCCGAGTTAGAATTGAACTAATTTAATTTATTTGAAGTTATAAGATCAGCACAACAGCGAAGTGAACAGATGCCCGAGGCCCGCAGCAGCTCTGCGCGCTGCCAGTCGAAACGAAGGAATCTGAAAGCCTCTAGAAAGCCCCATAGATGCAGTGAGATGCCAAAAACTACACCCAAACCCTAAACCCTAAACCCTAAACCCCGAACCCTTAACCCTACGTTCAGCGTGTCCCATGCCCGACTTGCTGCACTGGATGAGGCAACGCCGCGCGCCTCCTCTTGCTCGAAGCAACAGCAGCAAGCTGCAGCTAGCTGCAGCACGCTGCAGCCGCTGCTCGTAGCTAGCTGCAGCCAGCTGCAGCCGCTGCTCGTAGCTAGCTGCAGCTAGCTGCAGCCGCTGCTCGTAGCTAGCTGCAGCTCGCTGCAGCCGCTGCTCGTAACTAGCTGCAGCTAGCTGCTGCTGCGGGGCCAGGCGGCTGCACGGCGCCACAGTAGCAGCAACTCAGGCGCTGCAGCAGCTTAAACTTGGAAGCAAACTATAAACAAAGTTTAAACCCTAAATTAAATTCTCTATTTGTTTGTCAAAATCGAATATGAAATTATACTTTTTCGGAATTCCCTGTTGTCTCAGAAGCTGCTGCCTTCTGCAGTTGAACTGCTCGTGCTGCGGCTTCTGCTGTTGCAGCAGCTGCTGGCGCTGCTGCTGCTAGTGCTTTGGCTGCTGCCGCTGTCTGTGCCGGTGCTGCTGCTGCTGTTGCTGCTGCTGCTGCTGCTGCATCGGGCGGCGGCGAAGGACCGCGTGGTGCCTGCTGCCTTCAACGAAGTAATTCCCACCCACGTCTAATCGCCAGATCTTGCTGTTGCTGCTGCTGCTGCTGCTGGCTGCTGCAGCAAGCTGAGCTGCCAGGGCCTCAACAGTCCTCTGCAGCACTTCTCCTTCCCCCATGACCCGCCGCAGCCAGCGGTGCAGCAGCTGCTGCTTCATGAACTCTGAGCCAACTTGGGCCCACGCAGCAACAGGAAAAGCGGGCACACCCAGGTGCAGCTGCTGCTGCTGCAGCTGCTGCTGCTGGGAGCCCGCTGGTGTGCTGCTTGCATTTGTTGCTGCTTCTGAAGTCAGTGCCTTTGAAAGTGGCTGAGGAATCAGCTCTGCTGCTGTGTCTTTACCTGCACTGTTGTCAGCAGCAGCAGCAACTGTTGCTGCTGCTTCCGCAGCAACAGCCGTTGCTGCTGCTTCCGCAGCAGCAGCTGTTGCTGCTGCCTCTGCAGCAGCAGCAGCAGCACAACTGAGGTGAGTCCGTTCCCAAGCACTGGCTTCCTGGTGTATGTGCTGCTTCATCAGCAGCACCTGGCGGTGCAGCAACTCCAGCCGACGCCGCAAGGCAGCAACCCCACAGCTGGCCCTGTCAGGTGCTGCTGCTGCTGGTGCTGCTGCTGCTGCTGCTCCTTCCGTTGTTGCTAGGTCTGCTGCTAGCTCCGCGTCCAGGTCTTCCGCAGCTTCTGCTGCGGAGTCAACTGCTGCAGCCGCATCTGTCCCATTTATCTGGTCCTCGTGGTCCCTGTGCTGCTGCTGTTGCTCCTGCTGCTGCTGTTCTTGCTGCTGCTGCTGCTGCTCGTTCTGCTGCTGCTGCTGCTGAGCTGCGCGCTGCGTAAAGTCGGCGAGCACTGGCAGCACAGCAAGTCGAAAAGCATTTCTGAGATATTTGGGGCTGCGGTTTGAAGAGTCTTCGCACCACCCGCTCCCCAGGGCCTGCAGCAGCAGCAGCAGCAGCAGCAATGAGGCCAGCAGCAGCAGCATCGGATGCAGCAGCAAGTCAAGCTGCTGCCCGGCTATCATCACGACTATCCCACAGAGCAGCGCACCCTGGAGGCAGCAGCAGCAGCAAAAGCTGCGGTTGCTGCAGTAGCTCTGGCGC